GTCCCACCAGTTTGGGTATGTTGTTTCTTCATCTTCATTGAGTTCTAGGAAGACTTTAATTTCTTTCTTTATTTCTTCCCTGACTCAGCTGTCGTTCAGTAAGAAGTTGTTCAGTTTCCATGTTTGTGTTGGCTTTTTGCAATTTCTGTTGTTGTTGAGGTCCAGCTTTATTCCATGGTGATCAGACAAGATACAAGGTATTATTTCAATCTTCTTGTATTTGTTGAGGCTCGCTTTGTGACCAACTATATGGTCTATTTTGGAGAAGGTTCCATGAGGTGCTGAGAAGAACGTAAATTCTTTTGTGTTTAGGTGTAAGGTTCTGTAAAGTCTGTTAGGTCCATTTGATTCAATACCACTCTTAGAGACATTGTTTCTTTGTTTAATTTCTGCTTTGTTGACCTGTCCTTTGTTGAGAGTGGGGTGTTGAAGTCTCCCATTATTAATGTGTGGGGATCTATGTGTGGTTTAAGTTTTATCAGTGTTTCTTTTACAAATGTGGGTGCCCTTGTATTTTAGGCACAGATGTTCAGGATTGTGATGTCTTCCTGGTGGAATTTTCCCTTGATGAGTATGAAGTGTTCTTCCCCATCTCTTTTGATTAATCTTGCTTGAAAGTCTATTTTATCAGATATTAGGATGGCTACTCCTGCTTGCTTCTTGGGTCCATTTGCTTGGAAAGCCATCTTCCAACCCTTTATCCTCAGGTGATGTCTATCTTTGTGACTTTGGTGTATTTCTTTTATGCAACAGATTGATGGGTTTTGTTTCTGCATCTATTCTTTTAGTCTGTGCCTTTTTATTGGAGAATAATGTCCATTGATGTTGAAAGAGATTAATGACCAGTGGCTGATAGATCCTTGGATTTTGATGTTGGCTCTGGTCATAAGGTTGTGTTCTTGCTTGCTTTTTGTTTTACTGTAGTTAGGTTAAGTATTTCCTGTGCTTTCTTGAAAGTAGCTAGTTTTCTTGGGTTGCATTTTCCTTTCTAGTGCCTTTTGTAATGCTGGATTTGTGTGTAGGTATTGTTGAAATTTGTTTTTGTCATTGAATATCTTGTTTTCTCCGTCTATGAGGACTGAGAGTTTTGCAGGGTATATTAGCCTGGGCTGACATCTGTGTTCTCTCAAGGTCTGCATGATATCTGCGCAGGCCCTCTGGCTTTCATTGTCTCTGTTTAAAAGTCAGGTGTGATTCTATTGGGTTTGCCATTATATGTTACTTGGCCTTTTCCCTTGCAGCTTTTAGTATTTTTTCTTTGTTCTGTATACTTACTGTTTTGATTATTATGTGGAGGGAGGATTTTCTTTTCTTGTCTAATTTATTGGGTGTTTTGTAAGCCTCTTGTATTCTTATTGACCTCTCCTTTATTTTGGACAAATTTTATTCAATGATTTCATTGAAAATATTTTCTGGGTCTCAAAGGAGGGAATCTTCTTTTCCCTCTATTCCTATTATTCTTTTTTTATTGTTGTTAATTCAAGGAAATGGTTGCATAAAATACAATCTGTTCTAGAAATGTAAGTGGCCTGCCCAGTACATAACATTTCAAATATCAAAGTATATGGTATACATACAAATAAAGAGAAGGCAACATATGTTCTATGTACAGTACAGTATTTGAAATTATAAAATAAGCTCCATAAAGTACATGGTTCTTAATGTTCCTCTGAACTTCCCTTCAATTAAAACTATGAAAAGTTATCACTTTAGAATTTACATCAGAATATGAGAAACACAAACAGCAGGGAGCTGGCTCCCTGCAGGATTCAAAAGAAGTCTGCCTGCCAATGGACAGCAGGCACCAGGGGCTCACACCAACAAGAAAAAAAATGTATGACTTTCAATCATTCCATCGCCTTTATTGAATGCCTCTTGGCTGCTAACAGCAACCTATGGAATCAGTGTACTTGGCCCCACTGTACACTCTTGTAACACACACACACATACACACACACACACACACACACACACACACACAAACACACACACAGATTTATCAGCTTGGAATAACATCTCTGGCTTAGTGATAAAATAGAACTGCTCTTTATCAATTTTATAGAAAGTATAAGTTATATATCACACAGCTCACCCATTGTAAGTATACAGTTCAGTGAATTTGAGTAAACTTAAGCAGCCATATAGATCACTTCTGTCACCCTCAAAGTGTTGTATTATTCTTAGGTTTTGTCTTTTTATGTTGTCTTGAATTTCTTGGACAGTCTGTGTCAGGAATGTTTTAGATTTAACATTTTCTTTGACTGATACATCTATTTCTTCCATTGTATCTTCCACACCTGAGATTCTTTCTTCCATTTCTTGTGGTCTATTGGTTATGTTAACCTCTGTAGTTCCTGCTTTCTTCCCTAAATTCTTTCTCTCCACAATTTCTTCCATTTTTGTTTTCTTTAATTTTTCCAATTCTATCTTCAAATCTTGAGCAGGTTTGTTGATTTCCTTCACCTGTCTGACTGTATTTTCCTTCAATTCCTTCAGCTGTTTGTTTGAACAATCCTCTGTTTTTTTTTTTTACTTCTTTCAGTGATTTAAGCATTTCCTCTCTAAAGGCCACAAACTGTTTGGCTGCAACTTCCTGTATTTCTCTACAGATGGCCATAATCTGTTTGTTTTTATCTTCCTCTATTTCTTTACAGATGGCCATAATCTGTTTGAGTTTATCTTCCTCTAGGTCTTTATGCCTTTTATTTGTTTCCTTTGTTATCCTCTTCATGAGCATAGATGTTATGTCATTTCCTTGAATTTCAATTATGCTGGGTGTCCAGGGTTACTTGCCCCTGGATAACTGGGTTCTGGAGCTGCCATATTGCACTGTCTTTTGTTGGTTGAGCTTTTATGCTGGCCTCTACCCATTGTGCTGTCTTAGGTGTTTGGAGTTTGTTTCTGGTGGTTCCTGGAATCCTGTGGTGTTGATAATCCCCTTGGCAGGAAGATGGATTTTCCTGAAAGAAGCCTTCTCTGCTTTTTGGGTATAGTCACTGGATGGCAGGTGATTTTCAGAAGTTGCCACTGCTCACCTCAGGCATAGAGACCTGAGTGGTAACTGTGGTCCTTGTTAGTCAAGAGGGCTCTCCTCTCACCCAGAGAAGTCCTGAGGACAGCTGCCCTGCTTCTGGGTTTCTTGCTGTAACTTTAGTGATCTGCTGCTGTAGCCTGTTTGTCCCCTGATTTGGTCAGTTTTGTTAGGGATAACTGGATGCCCCTTGGATCAGTATCTGGAGGTTGATCTCGGGGATTTCGGGCTTCTCTAGATCTGAGGTTGGGTCTCTGAGCCCCAGTACTCAAGTGGTAATCTGTGGCGGGTGGGTACTGCTCTACTGGTTAAAGCAGGCTATCTGGTGCATAGTGGTTCCCTGGGTTGGGCTGGTCTGCGGGCCCTTTACCAGGGATATACTGGGTGGCCTAATTCTGTCCCCTTTGCTTCGTTCTCTGTGATGATTTCTCCTGACAGGGACTCCCGGTCTCTGTTGCCCTGGGGAGGACAGTTCTGTCCGTGCTGAAGAGCTGGGCACGCAGCAACTGTCTGTGCCTGCGGCTGGCGCCCAGTTCAGTGATGTCGGCTTGTACCCGCTGGTCTGCGAGACATTTTCCAGGGAAAGACTGGTTGACCCAAGTCAGTCCTGTTTCCTTCCTTCCCTGTGGGGTTTTCTCGCCACTGGGTCTCCCAGTCTCTGGTGTTTTTTTGTGCCCACTGATCAGCCTGGGAAGGTGATCAGGACACACAGGTGTGTGGCTCTGGTCTGGCTTCCTAGCGCCTTCAGGACCCAGGATCTCTTCTGGGTTCTGGCTGGGTGGCCTGAGCATGGACCTGACTGATTCCCATACTGTGGGTGTTTCCTTTCACCTTGGAAACACGATTGATTGCTGTTATTTTAGGGCCTAGAGTTCAGTCTCTTGTTCGCTCTATGGAAAATGTTGTCCTGCTCCTCAATTGCAGTGTTATCCTGGCGCCGCCATCTTGTCCCCCCTCCGGAAACTTTCTTAATATAAGAATTAACCTTTAACCTTTCAACTCTTTAATTAATGTAGGGTGATATCAATGTAAAAAGTACCTGAACTCAAAATACAAGATGACTCTGTGAAAGGAGTTGAAGAGATGATGACACTAATTTTCTTTGTTATATACATATCATGAAATCAGCAGAATAAATGATGCATTCAATGATGGTTAATTAGAACTAAATTGCTTTCTTCTGTATTTATGAATTAATTTCTCATATTTTATCTAGTGTACCATATATATATATATAATAAATTAAAGTAAAAGTTATCTTTCCTGGTTTCATTTATTAGCTGAGTGATGTTCACAGTGATTAAAATAATAAGAGAATATTATTCCCATTTAATAGTACTTATTTGTTATATGTTTACACATGCATAGTAAAATAAAAAGCTAATGTTTCAGTATTTTTTGGCAGCATAATTATAAATAGCAAATCTGTTTTAATGTGATTCTACATAATTTTTGATTTGTTAAAATTTTCATATATTAAACATTTAGCATAATATATGTTTAAACATGTATCAGCAAAATTTATTTGTGATATTTGCTTTGAGGTGGTTATTAATAGCTACATTTTAAAAGTTCTTCAAAAAATAAAAATAAAATTAAGTTCTTCAAGTATATAATTAACCAATATTATTTAATATATATGATTTCAATTTATATATGTTAACCGATCATTTTGGACAAATATACATTCAATTTTTAAATGTTTACTGATAATCTTTAACAAATCTTTGCTAGGGTATGTTGGAAGGAAATAATTTTATGTGATGGTTACATGTAAAAGCATTATTGCTTTTAGTCTGTTATTTTATTTCCCTTAAATCTTGCAGAACAAAAGGGACAGACAGAAAGAGAAGATAAAAATATGTTTAAATATTAAAAATGGTATTTATATAGTTGCTTTTTAAGAATGCAAATGCTCATTAATTCAAATTAATTGTTGATATTTTAACTTTTTAAAAAAATTAAACAGTAATTCAGCTCTACAATTCAAGATTCCCACTGCAATGCTTCTTAATGAGGATGAAATTCAACCACTTACTGTGACATTTCCAAAAGGCAGAGTTATAAATGGCTCTAGTACTGGAATTAATGATGAGATACTATGTCATATTAGTTTCAGTTCATCTAAACCTGTTTCCTTTTTTGCCGAGATTATTTTTCGTGATGACAGAGATAACTGGTAAGATATTTAAATGTAAATGCTTTTGTATTTGACATTGAGGGATATTAACTTTCTATTCTATTTTTTTCTAAAGTGGTTAAACGAATGACATCTAATATAGTCATCTTGGACATACAATTTTTAACATTCCAAATATGAATTTGCTTTCATGATAAACAACAAAAAAGTAAATTATATGTGTATAAGGTATTATAACTTTGTTAATTTGATTTCTGAGACACATTTCTTCACATGTAAATAGAAAGCTGATGTGAATAAATGTTTTACAAGTAGCAAAGTAGAACATGAAATGTTGAGGTACAACTAGATTGTTTGATTGATAATAGTTTTTGTGCTTTGGCTTGGTGGATTATTGTACAACAGAGCCCAGGCAGAAAGCATGAAAAACAACAGTGGCATGATAGAGGGATTTTTGCTATACACAGGCATCTTTTGAGAGCAGCTATATCATACCTATTTTTTCCCAAACTATAAGAAAAGGTAATCTATTTTATTCCTTTCCTGCTGTATTTTTGGATCTATTTCGTCTCTTTCTCTTTCCCCATCCATTTCAATAGCTTCTTTCTCAAACATATACAGACAGGTAGAATACACACACACACACACACACACACACACACACACACACACACACATAAATATTATTCCCTTGTTTTTCTTGGTGTATTTTATTGTTAGTATAACCAAACACAATTTCCACAATATGGTGTAAATAAATTGAATGAGGTCTCTATCAGGTCTCATCAGGACTGTCTGAAAGTTCTTTCTCTGTGGCCTAGTTAGGCCACCTCACTGTGTGTGATTGGGGGTGGGGCCATGAACAACAAGGATGACCTTAGGGAAGAGGCTTAATCTTCATTCAGAAGGACAAACAGGACAACATCAGAAGTAGGAGAAGAAAGAATACATGACAGAAGCCCAGAGGGCCTCTGAAAGACTTTACCCAGCAGGGTATTAAAGCAGATGCTGAGACTCATAGCCAAACTTTGGGCAGAGTGCAGGAAACCTTATGAAAGAACGGGGAGAAAGAAAGGCATGGAGAGGACAGGCGCTCCACAAGGAGAGTAAGAGGACCATAAAATCTGGGCACATGTGTCTTTTCTGAGACTGACACTCAAATCAAGGTCTATGCATGGAGATAACCTAGGACCCCTGGAGGGATGTGGCTTATGGCAGCTCAGTCACCAAATGGGTTCCCTAGTAAGAAGAACAGGGGCTATATCTGTCATGAACTCATTGGCTGCCTCTTGATCACCTTCACTTGAGGGGAAAGGCAGCCTTACGAGGCCCCAGGAGAAGACAGTGAAGCCAGTCCTGATGAGACCTGACAGGCTAGTGTTAGAGGGAAGAGGAAGAGGGCCTAAGCTTTCAGTGGACTGGAGGAAGGGCATGGGAGGGGAAGAGGGATTGAGGGCAGTATTGGGAGGGTAAGAGAGAGGTGGCTATACCTGGTATACAATTGAATTAATTGTAAAAAATAAAAATATAAATTACAAAAGAAGTTAATTAAATTTGAATTTTAAGCATTGAAGATATTTCGAATAATTAGAAATATTTTATTGCCTTTATTACATGTGAAGTGGGTTTTTTCGATAAACATATTTTCATTTTTAGGTTTTCCCTTCCAGTTACTGCAACAGCAGAAAATTGCATTCTTACTATTTATCTTTATTTGGCAATTCATCCTGACAAGCAGAAAGTTATTGTAAAGGATGGTAAGATGTTTTTGGCTGAGTCCATTCTCTCTCTGTGCAAGTTCTTACTAACTAAATAGTACATCGAATAATATATTGTGAATAAGACTTGTCACTTTATGGTAGAGCAGTTGTCTTAAATGCTCAACGTGCTGTGTTTGATATCCAGAACCTGGAATCAAGTAATTTAGCACATGTATATTAAACATTTATTGTTTGCAGAGTTATGTTTGTTATTAATAATAGAATATGCCAATGCCATTTATTTCATTAACTTAACAGGTATCTGAAGATGCATGAATAGAGAGTTGATTGAGTTTATATATATATATATATATATATATATATATATATATATATATATATATAGCATATAGATCTTTCCAGTGATTTTATAGAAATTATGAAGCTATTTGAGTCAACCTTGTCAAATGATAATGTTAAACAGGATTGTTTAAATAGAGAACAATATTGCAAATTCACAGTACTGTGACAGGAGGAGCAGAAGTCTCACTGTGCACTGTCTGATCCAGACATTTTAGTTCTATGTCAGCATTTTCCCTTATTTTAATCAGTTGTATTATTTACTTGCCTCTTCAACTGTTCATCATGCTTTGTGAAAAATACTTGGTCCTGTTCTGTCTCATCAGAGAACAGATTCTTTATGACTCTTGAGAAAAACAAACAACATCAACAAACAGACCATCACACAACAACACACCACTGGGGTTTCAAATAGTAAGCATGAATCAGAATCTAAAATTTCTCCTTTTATTCCAGTCACATGACCAGAAACTAGTAGTCTCTCCTGGTTTAGTTCTTCCTTTTCTTCCTACTATCTATGGTCCAAAATATACTATGTAACATTTGGAACACTTTCTAGGCAATTTTTGCCTTCACTTACCTGCTGTAGGTCAATTTTCAGGAAGATACCAGGAAGGGGAAAGGAGATTGTTTTTTTCCAGAAAGCTGCAAAGAAAAAATGGGCCGTTCAGGTTACTCGTTTCACATTTTTTCTTAATTTTCCAGAGGTAGGAGGAAAATTTAAAATGGGCAATGAGGGATTAAAGTACTTTTCCTTCAGCTAACAAAGAAATTTCAGAAGTCAGCAGGAAACAATACTTCACCACTGAACACAGCTACGACTATTGATTATTAAGCATGTCTTTCCATTTTCACAGTTTCTTGGGGATATCACATATCATACTTCTCTGGGTCTGCTTTAATTACTCTAAATGTTCCCTCCAACATATTTAATGAACTCTTACTCCGTACTTTTAATTCTGTGTGTAAATCAAAAGTCATTGTCTTATAATTCAAACACTGTACCATCAGCCTCTAATCAGAGATTCAGGAATTCAGATTTAAAATATCTAGATAGTACTTTTCATTAGATTTCCTAAGCACTAACGATATTACAGGATGAAAATAAAGCTTACCTTTCTGAAAGATTCACATTCTTCTGGATACTCCATCCCTGCAAATGTATTTAAATATCATCTGATGTTTAATCCAGAGGATCATCCTTAATGACATTTTCTATCTCACACTGCACATTAAGCCTGTTTATTTGTATTATTTAACCTCTAAATATCTTTCTTTTTTTACTTCTTTACTGACTTTTACTGCATAATTCATGATACCATCATGTTTTCATGAAATTAAGGCTGTCTCTTGCAATGGCCCTTCATTCAGAAACTGTGAATGAAATACTTCATACTATAAAAATCATTCATACTATAATAACATTGATATTTGTAAAGTGAAATGTCCTTTTTTAATTTCTTTTTTATTCACTTTACATCCTGGTTATAACCCCATCCCTCTTCCTCTATCAGTCTCACGCTCCCTTTTTTTGCCCTCCCCTTTCCTATTCCTTAGAACAGGGTAGCCCCCTTCCCATCCACCTGAGTTCATCAAATTGCTGAGCTGATCATGTTCTCTTCACCTGTGGCTTGGCAAGGCAGTCCCACCCAGTGGGAAGTGATCAAAAAGCTGGCAAGACCCTCTGCCTACAAAAAAAAATGTAGCCCTTGGGCTACTTAGGCTTCATATGGATCCTAAAGTAAGGAAAGTGGGGACTGCATGTGACATGAGCTCTCTTCTTTTAATTCCTGTGCATGCAAACTTTCTACAGTGGGGCTAGAGACTTAGCAGTTAAGAGCATGTGCTGTTCTTCAAAGATCCTAAGTTCTTTTGTGGCTCACAACTTCCTGAAACTATAGCTCCAGCAATTCCAATAGTTCCAATATTGTCTTCAGTCCTTTCCAAGCATCAATTCACAGATGCCCAGACACTCTCCCTCACAAATACAAACAAATAAATTTTCCATAGGCTGAGCATAGTGGTAGTTAATCATAATCCCAGAACTAGGAGGCTGAGGCAATAAGGTAACAAATTCAAGGGTATCTCAATGGATGTTAAAGTGTTCAATTGCTGCTAAAGAGGCCAAACTCCTCATTGTGGATCTATAGTTACTGATTGTTGGAGGAGGGGCAAAGAACTTTGTAAACAACTCTAATTAAATCCACTAGGCAAAAGCCCAAACCAACAAAAACCAAAGCCATGAAAGTAGAAAGGGGGCTAGCTAAGATGAAGATGGGTATCAACAAAAGAGAGGATAGTGGAGACAAATAGGATAAAAATACATTTGCTGCACTATAATAATTTCATAAATGAAACCCAATATCTAATGAAGTACTTAAAAAATAAAATCTTTATACAGAATTCCATTGCTGGTAGGATGAAAGCAACAGCATGGTTTCTTACATCATAGTTCAAGTAATGGCTTCATTCTCATTTTGGGGATATTTTATCTTCTATGTTTAAGTCATAATAAACTTCTATGAGTTCTTTTATTCTCTGTATGTTTTTGATAATCTTTTTGATGATTAGAAAATTGTCTCTATTAGACACTGCATAGCTACATACCAAGGAGGAGCCCAGCTTTTATGAGCATGGGATTTTCATTCATCTTCTGTACTCTCATAACTGCCATTTCCCTGCCATACTCCATATTTCATTTTGACTTCTCAGGCTTCACATATGTATTCTATTGTGACATTTATAAGATTGTTGAGAATAGAACTAATTTCTCTATTCAGGCTCTTGTCTTGAATATCTAACATAGTATGTGACAGATTAAAAAGTGAAGCTCACAAGAAGCTAACATTTGTCTCACATAGAATATCCCTGCTAGATTTTGCTCTTGCTTTGGTCCAGTTTTTCCTTACTGTCTTGTTCCTCCCTTTGAAATGCAAATGCCTTCTCTATGCCTTTGTGTTTTGGAAGCATGTAACTTACATTTTGACTTTAGAGAGGCTCACAGTTAAAAGACTTCTTCTGGACTAAGGAGAGACTGAACTTTGGCTTTTTGAACAGAATAGGGACTATTAAGACTATGAGGGCTTTATGAAATGAAATGTAATGAACCTTTCTGGGCCAGGTGTGGCTTGAATCTGAAATGTTCTCTCCATGCTCTTGTTTAGAATGTGTGGTCTCCCATTTGGATTGCTTTTTTGAAGGTGGAGAAGCTCTTTGGAGGTGGGCTGTGTTTGGCAGAAATGGAAACACTTGAAGTGTGCCTGTGGGAATTTTTGTTACCCATGGTTCTGTCTTCCATTCTCTGTTCCCTAATACGCTGCTGTGTGGAGACTCACACCAAATGCTTCCACTATAGCCTCTGTGCTGTGCCCACCACATCTGCTTGCAGCGGTGGTCTGAAATCCTTCTGAGATTGAGCAGAAACCTTCCTGCCTTTGAGTTGCTAAATCAAGTACTTGATTACAGTGGCACAAAAGTAACTATGTCACCTCTCAACAATAGGCACTTATTCTCTCCCCAGTCTCTGGTGGCCATGCGGAGCTGGGCTGCAGTCTCTTCTCTGTGTTTGGCAGCAGTGGAGAAGTTTTTGTCTGAATGATCTTTGTGTGCATGAGCTGTCCCATACTATCTCCTTTGGTTAAGAAAAGTTAGTTCTCATGTGTCATTTTTATTTAAACACATTAGAATTTCCAGAGTGTCACTTTCTTAGGGGCTAAACCTTAGTTATGCAAAGCAAAGGGGAAATCCAGAGAACTCAACTCTACACCAGTCTTGGAGCTCTGACACTGCTGCCGAATCTTTCTTCCTTTCCCCACATTTCATCAGGTTTTTGTTTTTTTTTTGTTTGTTTGTTTTTTGTTTTTTATCTTTCATATGAAACATACAGGGTATCTAAGGGTATTTATCAAGGGGGCTAGAGAAGCACAGATCAGTTTTATCTTTCAAATCTAGAAGTCTTCTATGTCCTTAACAAAACAAACAATGCAGGGTTCTAACTATTGTTTTAAATAAAATTGAAGTTTGAAAGCATTTAAGAATGCATGCATATGGGGCTGGAGAGATTGCTTAGTGGTTACCATTATTAGTCTTCTTTTTTAAATTTTTATTTTATGCTTCTGAGTGTTTTGCTTGTATGTATGTCTGTGTACCGTATATAATGAAATACTTGTGGAGGCTAGAAGAGGGTATCAGATCGATTGGAAGTAGCTACCATGTGGGTGCTGGAAACCAAATAAAAGTCCTCTGGAAGAGCAGCCAGTGCTGTCTTAACCTGAATCATCTCTCCAGCCCTAACTCTATGTTCTTGCAGAATAGTCAGGTTGAGTTCCCAGCACCCACACTAAGTGGCTTACAACTACCCGTAACTCCAGTTCCAGGACTCTGTTACCCTCTTCTGGACTCGAGAGACACCTATACACATGTGGTACACATACAAACACTTAAGCACACAACATGGACATTAAATAAATAATTATTTAAAAAATAACAATCAAACAAAAAGCTCTTTTATGTATCATCTATATTATATAATGGATCATTTGAATTGTAAAGCTCTAGAAAACATTTTTGTCTATAAATTACCATTAAAACTGATTATATGTCAAATACTATATTCTAATCATCATAAAATTTAATATAAAAAAGTATAGGCTAGTCCAATTGGCATTACAGGGATGCAGAGAGAGGGACAAATTGAGAAAAAGAGAAAGTCAGAGACTGAAACCCAACAGTCCCCTGAGACATATTAGGTAAAATTTATATGACAAATTAAGAATGGTTTTGCTCGAAAAATATTAGGAAGAAATTTGATATTATAACAGCTTACTGATTTTTGTACTGCTTTTAAAGTAATCCTTACAGTGATCTCAGAATCTATGTTTTCCTATGTTTAGATAAATTTTTTTCAGAGACTATGTATAAAGTTACCTAGAGCTTAGGGGCTAAAGAGTAGTCCTGTCAAACTTATTACTTCAAATTTGTGAACTATACAGTTTTGCTTTCTTGACAGACCATCTACATACATAGGTATGAAAATATATGTATATATTATTTGCAGTATATATGTTTATATAGTTAGTTAAATGCATATTATGAGTTAAAAACTATAAAGTATATAGCAGTTCAAACTGGAATAGGGTTTAAAATCTTTAAAATGGTTTCAGCTCACACACAAGAAGTTATTTAACTTTGAGATCAACTAGGAAAAAGTATTTTTGTCAGAGATCTTTTTATGTCTTTTGTGTAATAATTTCAATTATTTGCTGTAGCAACATTTGAAATGTATTACACATTTTTGTATAAAGTTAGTATTTTTTTATTTTTCTAATAATATGAAAATTATCTTATCAAATAAATTCCATTCAGTTTAGGGAACCATATCAGTGTTTATGCTATTTTAATTTGTCAAGTCATGTATTAATATAATTGTATTTAGACTTTCTTTTATTATATTATATGAGTTATGAATTACAAGTTAAATGATGTGCTATTAAATTTCACAAATATTTCTTTGGCTAACTATGCTCTAATGTGTTATTTGTACATAAAGAAGGAAATACTACAAAGCCTATAGGCAGTTTTTTGATTCCTGAAATTCCACGCCAGGATTCCAAATCACTTTCTACAGGGCAAAGAGAATCTCTTGTTTCCAGTATTAGTGATGATGCTGAACTTACTCATGGGAACCTATTTGTTGGTATGTAAAAATGTATAATGTACTTATCAAAACTAGTTCATGATATAATTTTATTAATAGCAAAACTTAAGCATATCAAACAAATTCATTAAAAAAATCTCATGGATTCATCACAGACATAGTGGACAATCTACTCTGGATAAGTTTTTCAGTTCTTAGCAATAAAAGTTCTCTACATTTATAGTATTTCTAATGCTTCAGTAATGTTCTGTACACAAAATTTGTACCTCTTGGTTCCATTCGTTAAGTAGCTATGTAGAAAACTTAAGAGTAGTTGTAGTTGTTTTCTTTATATTTAACTAAAATTGTTAAATGTCTTGTTGATCGTTTATAACTTTTTTTTGTAACATTAAGTACTTTCTGTATACATATTGTGAATTGCAGATTTATGAGTTTTATTATATTTTTTAGCTGTATACAAAGTTACCTATTTTAGAAAGTAGTAAGCATAGTTGAGCATGGGAGTTCGGTATTATTTGAGATCTACTTCAAATATTCTTTTGTCTAGATATGAATCATATGATAAAATTAATTTTTGTCAGTTGATAAAACTTCAATAGTGTGAATCTGTGTTTTTATGATTGCATAAGAAAAGTCTTTTGACAAAATGCAGCGCACTAATTTATATTATTTAATATTTCCATAATACAAAAAATATTTTGTTATATTTAAGTACATTGCTCAGAAACAAAGACATTTTGAATATGTAGTTGACATTTTGTTTCTGTAATTCTTTCAGGTAAAGTCTAATTTGTATATAAGCAATGGTAAAGAAGTGTTAATAAGGCTTCCTTATGTAAATAAAATAAACATTCATATTGAGTGTTTGTGAATAAATTCTTGACAATTAAAACACAATTTTTATCTGGTAAATATATGGTAAAATATTTTGATTGTTTGGACATAACTATATTATTATTATTTATGTTAAAATACAGTAGATGCGCACAACTTTATTGGAGGGTATAGAATACTTTGTTGAAACTGGGTGTGGTGGCACATGCCTTTAATCCCAGACTCACTGAAACACAGGCAGAAGGATCTCTGTGAATTCAAGGCAGCCAGGCTGGTCTGTAAAGCAAGTACAGGACAGCAAAGGCTACACAGAGAAACCGTGTCTTAAAAAAACAAACAAACAAACAAACAAATCAAACAAAAAACAAACAAACAAATAAAAAGAACACTTTGTTAAAGGTGTTTTATTTACCTACTAAATGTAGAACTAACTAGAAGAATACTCTGTGGTCAAATAATAAGCGTATATAACAGAATGATCTTTTGTAGTTTCATCCATTTACCTATATATTTACAGATTTCCTCGTTTTTAATTGCTGAGTAGTATTGCATTGAGTAAATGTACCACAATTTCTGTGCTCATTCTTTGATTGAGGGACATCTAGGTTGTTTTCAGATTATAGCTATTATGAATAATGCTGCTATGAACATACATGAGTAAATATCCTTGTTGTATGGTTGAGCATCTTTTACATATATGCCTAGGAGTGATACAGCTGGATCTTGAGGAAGCATTACCACTAATTGTCTGAGAGAGCACCAGACTGATTTCCAAATTGGTTTTACAAGTTTACATTCCCACCAGCAACAGAGGAGGGTTCCCCTTTCTCCACATCCTCTCCAGCATTTGTTGTCATTTGAGATTTTTATCTTAGCCATTATGACAGGAGTAAGATAAACTCTCAGAGTTGTTTGATTGATCTTTGCTCAGCTTCTGCTCCCGAGGTGGCCCTTCTAGTTCCTAGAGAAAAGGATGCAGACAGTCCTGATGAACCCTTATAGGCTAGGGTCAGATAGTGGGGGAGGAGGACCTCCTCTATCAGTGGAGGAAGGAAGGGACATAGAGGGGAAGAGGGAGGGAAGGTGAGACTGGGAGGAAATTAAGGAGGGTGTTACAGCTGGGATACAAAATCAAAAATTTGTATTAAATAGTAACAATGACAATAATAATAATAGTAATAATAATAATAATGATACTAAAAGAAAAAAATTACAAAGCTTATATAACAAATGTTGACTTTAGGGACGGAAATTGCATGTGAACCTGTGGACTCAGATGAAAGTATTCCAGATAGAGTAAATTTTGTATCTCTGGAAAATGAAGAGATGAATCAACAGTTCTTTGCACCTGAAGAAGGATCAAAGGCTTTTGACTGTTTTCAGAAGGTTGTGAATGCAACTCAGACATGGTTCAGTCTCTTTGGCTGGCCTGAAGGTCCCCATTCTCTTTCTATTCCTGAAACAATAAGAAGGTGACATTTGCATATTTTACATTTTTTGTTTTGTATTTTTCTAAATATTTCACTTATTTGTATCATTTAAATGAAACAGTTAATTTTTTTAAACTGATGAACCACTGGGGTCTATTGAGACTAAGATAATGTAATATAAATTCTATTATTCATATATGGTTCAACATAATTTTGCTTTAAATTAAGTTGCTACTGAACATTAATTATATAAAATAATGAGTTTTGTTGTATCCTTTACATATACATATGCATATTACTTTGGTCTTATATAATTCCCCATGATGTCTTTGTACCTCTTATAAACTTCCCCATGATACCTTTGAACACAACATACTAGCGTTCTTCCTCTCTTAAATAGTCTCCCTTCTACTTTCCTGTATTTTTAAAGTTTAGATTCTCTTTATGATAGGATACATGTGACATATTTTCGTAAATCTGGTTCATTTTCTTTCACATGATGATATCCTGTCATATGATGTTTATTGCAAGCAACATGATTTCATTTTTCTTCTTGTTTGAATATATAAATATGTTTGTGTGTGTGTATGAATATGTGTAACATTTTCCTCATTAATCTTTTATTGATGGTTACTTAGGCTGATTGCATAACTTTGATCCTGTGGATACAGTCAGAGTAGATACTAATGTGTGAATAGCTATACTGTGCAATTTGATTCCTTTTCATGTATATACAGAATATTATTAATTTGTATTGCAATTATCGTGTTTTATGCCATAGGTCCATAGGTTTGATTTCTTAATTGTACCCCAGAGGTCTCATATATTGTTGTCATTATTATTTTTTATTGCTCTCTGAATATATTGTTTCTCAACTTTAGCTTCAATCTCTTCTTCATTGCCAACTCTATAGATGATTTTTTTTCACTGAGTTTTGTATTGACTTCCTGAGGTTTTCACTTCCGTGACTTTCATTTCTTTTGTCAGAAAAACTGTCATATTTCTAATCTAAGATTTTTTTCATATTTCTCATCCAATGTTTTATTTAATTAATTTTTAATTTTTACATTAATTTTATTTTATTCGCTTTGTATCCCAGCTTTAACTTCGTCCCTTATCCCAGTCCTACCATCTTTCTCTAATATCCTCCCATGCCCCTCTCCAATTCAACTGATAGAGGAGGTCCTCCTCCCCTTATATCTGTCCCTAGCTTATTAAGTCTCATCAAGACTGGCTGCAGTGTCCTCCTCTGTGGCCTGGCAAGGCTGTTTCTCCTTCTTAAGGATGGGGAGGAGTGGTCAATGAGCCAGCCACTGAGTTCATGTCAGAGACAGTCCCTTTGCCCCTTACTAGGGACCCACTTGAATACTACTGAGCTGCCATGGGTTACCTCTGAGCAGGGGTTCTTGGTTATATCCATGAATGGACCTTGGTCCTTGGTTGGAGTATAAGTCTCAGAAAATACCCCTGTGCCCAGACATTTTGGTTCAGGCAAATGGTGGGATCTAGAAAAGTTCATCCTGAGTGAGGTATCCTAGAGGCAGAAAGACACACATGGTATATACTCACTTATAAGTGGATACTAGACCTATAAAATAGGATAAACATACTAAAATCTGTACACCTAAAGAAACTAAACAAGAAGGAGGATCCTGGGTAAAATGATCAATCCTCACTTAGAAAGACAAACAGGATGGAGATTGGAAGAAGAAGAAAACAAGAAACAGGATAGGAGTCTACCACAGAGGGCTTCTGAAAGACTCTACCCAGCAGTGTATCAAAGCAGATGCTGAGACTCATAACCAAACCTTGGGCAGAGTGCAGGGAATCATATGAAAGAAGGGGGAGTTAGTAAGATCTATAGAGGACAGGAGCTCAACAAGGAAAGATTTTTTTTTTTTTTTTTTTTTTTTTTACACAACACACAGCGTTGGTATGTATATGTAGCTCTGGGACTTCATTGTTTTTTAATATGGGCTATTAAATACTTTGGAATTTTAGAGTGATTTTTTTTTGCCTTTTTTATATTTATTTTATAATGGTTCAATTGGCATAATCCTGGGAAATATAGCTGTTTTGTTTTTATTGATCTTTTTACAGTGGTGAGTATTCTCTTCAGAGCTCTGTCCACAAGTGTTCAAAGAGACATCAAATATTTGTAAAAGCAACAAGTTCAAACTGAAGCAGATAGCAAAATTAAGGATGACTGTTTCCCCCCAAATCATAGAAAACAAATTGGCAAACAATGTAGTTTATTGTGTGATATTAAATTTAATACTACTTGTTCCCTTATATTTTAAATTTTTCAGGAATCCAGGAAGCATATAGGTCAAACACACAGAAAGAATCATAGCCAGGCTTGTACAATTTAACTGATTTTTTAAAATAACACAAGGTATTTTGTCATAAATTAGGTTATTGAGACCCATTTTTACTACATTTGAGAGCTGATTTTCAAAATGAACCCTTGAATGCTTTTTATTTCTCAATCTGGGATCATGATACATTTCTGATTTTAATTGTTGACGAATAGTTATACAATTTACCATACAAAATTTGACAAAATTTAGAAAACAAAGATCTTTTGTTACTCCATCCAAAAATGAGTATATATCACAACCTGTTTAAAAGACATAAGTACTATTATTTCCCACTTCTTACAAGAGCTGGAGAGGACAGGAACTCCACAAGGAGAGCAACAGAACACAGGGAACTTCCCAGAGACTCATATTCCAACCAAGGACTATTCATGGAGATAACCTAGAACCCCTTGACAGATGTAGCCCATGGCAGTTCAGTGTCCAAGTGGGTTACCTAGTAATGGGAAGAGGGACTGCCTCTGACATAATCTGATTGGCCTGCTCGTTGATCACTTCCCCCTGAGGGGGGAGCAGCCTTAGCAGGCCACAGTAGAGGACAATGCTGCCAATTTTGATGAGAACTGATAGACTAAGATCAGAAAGGAGAGAAGAACCTCCCCTATCAGTGGACTTGGGGAGTGGCATGAATACAGAAAGGGGAGGGAGGGTGGGATTGGGAGGGGAGGAGGGAGGGGCTTCTGGGGGGATACAAAATGAATAAAGTGTAATTAATAAAAAAATTTTAAAAATGTTAGAAAAAAATCACAAAAAAGAATCCCCTCAAAACTATAATATTGCATGTAACATATTGCTATGAGAATTCATATATATATCTCAGTTGTAATTATAAATGTTTTTTGGTAGAAGCAACAAGTGAAATAAATAGTAAAGTAAAAAAAAAGACGTAAGTAAACTAAGTTTGTTTAATCTTACTCAAAGTTTAGTTCCATAAATGGGAACAGTACAGTTCTGAAATCAATGTTTTAAACTAGAATCCTTAGTAGGTTAGTGTGCAGGATATGGCATGTAACTGGTTATACTCAAATATCGAGAATGTGTTTTAATTTATTTTTAATTATACATGTATGATATATATTTTAAAAATTTAAATTATATTGGGAAGTATAGAAATTGTATTTAGATTATAGAATGCAGAATAGTGCCCAGTGAGTTTAAGGTACTTCCCATATTAAAATACAGTAAATAGATAATGAGACCAGGAATCAACCCTTGTTGTCTTTTCTCAAATGCAAATGATTCCTAGTCCACTCCCTGAGCCCCTCAATTGCAGCATAAATGATATAAGTATAAATGAGATAATGTGAAATCTTTAGTAATATTTAAAAATTTATTTTGTGCTTGCAAATAGTAGCCACACGAATTGCGTTTTAGAATTTATTGCTCAGTCTACCTTAATATTATTTGATTTAGTTATTGATCATATTTTTGCATAAAGTAACATTTTGAAACTGTTGTTGACTTACTCCATTTCCCCCATAGGGATGTGCAGAAAATAAAATTCTATTCAGCATCCTCACCACCCAAGAAATTTTCCAGACAGTATGATTTTTATAAATATAATAAGACAATTTATGATGTGATTCTGCACTTGAGTGAAAGACTTCCACCTGGAATTAACTCAAATCAGTCCTTACCAGTGGATAATACTGAAAGGGTGATACAGCTCCATTCACAACATGCCTCACTTCTAGACTTTATCACGTAAGAGCTAAGATTTACAGAATTAAACATGTAGTCATAGCTTACTTGAGTAGATAAATACGGACAAGTGAGTGGATGGATAAATTTAAGGAAATAGTTTGTCTTTATGTAAAAAAAAATCCCTTGTTATACACGTTGTAATTTATACTGCAGAGAATTATACCCTATTTAACAGAAGCATCACATAACCTTTTTGGATGCATAATCTAATACACTACCATTTAAACTTCATCATGTACATAGATCACTAGGATGGATTGTTAAAATGGCTTGCTCACCCTTACACACAGTGTTTTTGTTGATAATTTGCATTAATTATAAATTGCAGGATGATATGAATAATCCTAGTCCATGTTGATGGTCTATTTTGAAGGTGTACATGTTATAAACCTAGTGATAAAAATGAAATTAATGAAAATTCTTTGATTACTGGTAGTATCATCTTAGGTTTTGAATATTATAAACTTCTGGTTTTCATAATTAATGTGTTAATATTAAAATGTAAGGCTGGCAAAAAGTTCCATTATTGCTAATGAAGTATAAGCACTTGTTACAGTGATGTTTGTATTACTTAATTACTACAGCTATTTATTGACAAGTATGCATAAAATGGAAAGGTAATGTTCTTTAGAAATCTGAGGCAAAGCTTAATGAATTAATATTGTTTCCTTTACTTACATTTCCATCATTCCTGTTTGCTTAAACTCCCCACACTTACAGATACTATGCATATTCCACTTTTCTGTTACTACCTCATTAAATGATCAGATTTTAATTATAACATTTATGAAATGCAAATATGTATATATTCATACAAATATTTATACATTTATTACTAGTGAAAGTGAAAAGCAAAGATAAAGAACTTTTAGAGTAACAATACAAATGAAATATTTGATATTCTTTTTTTATACATTGAAAAATTTGAGCTTCTTGTAGTTAATGCAGCTTTTAATAGTTAGCAAAATATCTATTATTTTTTCATTATTATATTAATATTGTCTTAATCTTCTTATGGGTTAAATACAGCTAAACATCTCCAAATTTTCAAAAGTGACTGTGTTCAGGAAAGATTTAGGCAGCCTTTTGTGGAATTTACTGTAAAGGGACATTAGATAGATACCACCAATGATACAGAAGAGTGTTAGGTGGACAGTCCTGAACCTGCCTTATTAATAATAAGTTATTTCTATATTGAGAGGATAGTTGAGGCAGTGATAGGAGACCTATTGATTCTTGGTATGGCTGAGAGAAGGTATGTAAAGTACCCATCTCTGAAAATAGCAGCATATGCTAACACGAAAATCATTTTTCAGACAGAGCTAAAATGTCAAAGCATCCAAGCATCTGTTGAAAGTCATAGCATAACATGATATTGCACAGCAGATGGGGTTACCTGCATTGTACTTGAAGTCCTAGCTAGATCAATAAGGCAACGAAACAATGCCAAGAGGATACAAATTAGAAAGAAAGAAGTCAATGTACTCTATTTGCAGATGATATGGTAGTGGCACCATAATATCTACAAGATCAGTGGCACCAAAATATCTACCAAGGATCTCCTACAGCTGATAAACTACTTCAGCAAAGTGGCTGCATATAAAATTACCTCAAAAAATCAGTAGCCCTCCTACATACAAAAGACAAATGGGCTGAGGAAGAAATTGGAGAAACAAGTGAACAGCTTGTATGACAACCCTCAGAATGGCTAAGATAAAAAACTCAAGTGACAACATATGCTAGAGAGGCTATGGAGAAATGGGAACCTTCCCCCATTGCTGGTAGTAATGTCAACTTGTATATCACTTTGGAAATCAATCTGGAGCCCTCTCAGAAAACTGAGAATAGTGCTACCTCAAGACTTATCTATACCACTCCTGGGCATATACCTAATAGATGCTCAATCATATAAAAGGGCATTTGCTCAACTATGTTCACAACAGCTTTATTCATAATAACAAGAATCTGGAAACAATCTAGATATCTCTCAATCAAAGAATGGACACAGAAATTGTGGAACATTTATACAATTCAATACTATTCAGCTATTAAAATCAAGGAAGTCATGAAATTTGCAGGCAAATGGATGGAACTAGAAAAAATGTAATACTGAGTGAGATATCCCAGAAGCAGAGAGACATGCATGGCATGTACTCACTTATAAGGGGATATTAGCCATATTATATTTGATAAATATACTAAAATCTACAAACTTAAAGAGGCTAACCAACAAATAGGACTCTAGGGAAGATGTTTAATTCTCACTCAGATGGTAAAACAGGATAGACACTAGAGGGGGTTGAAGAGAAAAAACAGGACTGGAGCCTACCATAGATGTCCTCTAAAAGATTCCAACCAATAGGGGATCAAATCAGATATAGAAACTCACAGCCAAATTTTGGATAGAGTGCAGGGAGTCTTAAGGTAGAAGGGAGATATAAAAGGACCTGGAGGGGACTGGAGCCACAGGAGACAAAGCCAAAATAAACAAACAAACAAACAAATAAATAAATAAATAAATAAATAAATAAATACAGGGCACAGGGGATACTGCATAGACTGATAACATTCATAGAGACCAAGATCACCTCCTCAGATGTAGACAACTCAGTCTCCATGTAGGTTCTCTAGCAGGATGAGAAAAGTTCTCTGACATGAACTTGGTTGCTTGCACCATGATCACTTCTACTTGTTGGGGTGACCCAGCCAGCCTACAGAGTAAGAAAGAAGATCCAGGCAGTCCTGATGGGCCCTAATAGGATAGGGTCAGAGAGTAGAGGAAGAGGATTTCCCCTATCAGTGGACTAGGGAAGAAGGCTAGGGGAGGAAGAGGGAGGGAAGGTAGGACTGGGAAAAGATGAGGGACAGGCCTACAACTGAGATAAAAAGTGAATAAATTGTAAATAATATGTACATGTATCTGAAGAAAAAATTGAAGAGGATATCAGAAGATGTGAAGATCTCCCATGTTCATAGATCGGTAAGATTAACATAGTATAAGTGGCCATTCTATCAAAAGAAATCTACAGATTCAATGCAATTCCCATAAAAATACCAACACAATTCTTTATAGACATTGAAAGAACATTTCTTTAATTCAAATAGAAAAACAAAACAAAAAAACCCAGACTAACTAAAAAAATCCTCTACAATACAAGATCTTCTGGAGGTATCTCCATCCCTCATCTCAAGCAGTACTATTGAGAAACAGTAATAAAGAGTGCATAATACTGGCATAGAAGTAACTAGTGGATCAAAGGACTCAAATAGAAGACCAGGAAATAAACACACACACACACACACACACACACACACACACACACACACACACCCCTATGAATATTTTATTTTGACAAAGAAGCCAAAACCATACAATGAATTTAAGATAGCGTCTTCAAAAAATGGTGCTGCTCACCTGGATTTCTACATGTAGAAAAATGCAAATATATCCATACTTATTACCCTTCACAAAAGTAAAGTCCAAGTGAATCAAAGACCTCAACATAAAACCAGAAACACTAAATCTACTAGAAGAAAAAAAGGGGAGGAGCCTTGAAATCATTGGCAAAGGAGACAAATTCCTAAATACAGCACCAACAGATCAGCTTTAAGATCAACAATTAATAAATGGGACCTCATAAAACTGAAAGGCTTCTGTAAAGCAAATGACAATGTCAAAAGGACAAAATGAGAAGCTGCAGACTGGAAATAGATCTTCTACATCCCTATATCCAACACAATGCTAGTATACAAAGTAAATAACTCAAGAAAATAAACAACAATAAACCAAATAAACAAATTAAAAATAGGGTACAGAGCTAAACAGAGAATTCTCAATGTAGGAATATCTAATGGCAGAGAAACACTTAAAGAAACACTCAATGGACCACATTCGGTGGACACCTTCTAGGGACAAATGGTTGGCTGCTCTGACTGTGGGCTCTCACTGTCACTGCCTGTGGAGTGAATACCTTCCTGCACTGAGGGTGAGGCTCCTAACCCAGGTACCCACTTTCAGTTCTGTAGATACCTTCTGGGTGTTAGTGGATCCTGGTTCTGAATCTGTGAGTCCACTCTTACCATCCTGGGAATACCTTTCTGGTCTCTCCATTAGTGGTGATCATTCTCACTATCCTGTTGAGGGAATACCTTCTCCTACTGTGGGGGAGGCCCTACTACATTTCTTCTGCTCCCCACCTGCCTGGCTCAGCCAGGTCATAATAAGCCAGGACAGTACGGACTGTAAGTACAGCTGAGCAGAGCTAGGCGCTAAACTCAAGTCCCATGGTCCACCACTTAAAGGAAGCCAGTGGGCAATGGAGCAGCCTGATCCATGGCAGCCTAGCCCACTTGTGTCAGAAACAAGGAGCCCAGCACAGACAGTGAACCCAGGTGAGCTAAGCCAGGCTTGGAACTCAAAACCCATTCATCATCTTAGGGAAGTCTGTGGGGCACTGGAGTAGCTCTAGACTCAGGAATTTTTCTGCCTGCACCGCAACAACCTGGCATATTTGGGTCACAAACTTTAAGGCAGCAGAGACAGTGAATCCAACAGAGACTTACTGAGACTCCAGAGACAGGTGGAACCAGTCTACAGTACAGTTTTCAGGAATAATCAGTCAAGACTACAGATGACCAGATGGTGAGGGGCTGGCATAAGAATAGAGGCAACAAAACCAAGGCATCAACAGAATCTCCAAAAATCAACGGATATTATATTGCAGCTGAAACACAGAATGATCTTAAATCTATAACTATGCAGTTATTAGAGGGCATCATAGACAGACAGGAATCCAGAGTGAAACATGAAGGAAATGAATAAAATCATTCAAGACATGAAAATAGAATTAAAATTAATAAGGAAAACACTAACAGAAAATCCTGTAGTTGGAGAACTTAGAGACTAGATTAGGAACTACAAAGGTAAGCATCACCAACAGAATACAAGAAATGAAAGGGAATCTCAGGCACTGAAGATAAAATTGCAGAAATTGATACAT